AAAAAAAAAAAAAAAGAAGGGCTCCAAACAGAACACCTCAACCCATTGGATTCCAGCACTTCTATTGAAGAACTTCACTAGCACCGAAAATTTCATGGAAGTCCCAACAATGACGTTACTCGATTCAAGCCTTATCTCATTTGTTGCAACCCACAACGATCGAGAGCTTGGTGGCTGCGAATTGCCCCAGAGAAACCCTCACCACTTCGACGAGGTGACTGTTTTGAATATGAATAATGACCTCACTTCTATTAGCCCCTTAAATCATAGCTATTGTGATATTAGTCCCTCAAATGTTCATATTTTTATGTTAGTCACTGGAATTGCATTAGCATATTGGTATATATAAATCTCTTTGTTAGTTTTACCATTTATAACCCTCAATCTTGGTTAGGTTAAGACTAACTATAGATGGTTGATTACAAAAATAGTCCCGACATTTATCTCTCTTTCCCTCCTTCCCTCTCGCCCTTACAGCTATCACAAATCCATCCCTTTATCTCTCTTTCCCTCCTTCCCTCTCCCCTTATCCCTAGCATCAGAAATCACAAACCCAGTGCCTGTCATCAAAATGCAAACCAAAAAATTATTATTCATATTTCATTTTGATCACTAATTGTATATCATGTTATACACCTTGAACATATCCTCGCTGAAATACATCGAAAATTTAAAGAGCTTTATAGTCACCATCGTTAAAAGTACAAGTCCTCACAACATTAACCATATCCTTTTTTTTATTTTCTTGTTGAAACACATTGGAGACCTAATATTTTTTTTAACAGATCAACTGCCTTGTACATATTACCCGATAAGCATCGAAACCATTAATGTAGAACGAGCGCCTATTTATCATAAAATGGGTCCCACTTGTCGAGGCAAAGCATGAACTTTTGAAAGGATTGGTAAAAATAAGCAGCGCTAAAAGAAGAAAGATATTGCAAATTTCTTAGTTCTTCCTTGTGGATGACTATGCATGAAGAATGTGAGCTTGTTGTGCACTGGAGCTTAGAATGTTGGAGTTTTATCTAGAGTTGAGGAAGTAGGATTTTCCATTTCCATTAATGAAGATTTCGGCAAACGGAGAAGTTAGGCAATGGATGTGATGGATGCCGTTTGACAAGAAGTGAGGTGAAGCGGTTTTGGGTTTGGAGCTCTTATCAGGTTTAAGTTAAAGGATTTATCGGTTTTGGTTTTAGGACGAGGGTATAATGGTCCATTCAAGGAAAAAAAATGAACATAATGGAATGTTCCCCGACCATTATAACCCCCGACTAATTAGAGGGACAAATATCATCATATTAATGCAATTTGGGGAACTAATATGACGATTTGAGGGACTAATATCAAAATACTGATAGTTTAAGGGACTAATATCTAAAGAGCCCAAAAAATTTTGTTCTTAAAATTGCTCCATACATGCTCAATATTTTCTGTGCAATAAATGTGGCCATAATAGAATGATATTGCTCAATATTTTCTGTGCAATAAATGTGGCCATAATAGAATGATATTTTAAGACAATGCCCCTTGAGTATCAGAATTCATTCTCATGCAATAAATGTGGCCATAATAGAATGATATTTTAAGACAATGCCCCTTGAGTATCAGAATTCATTCTCAAATATGAGTCAGTAATCAGAATTTATTCTCTAACATTTTATATACACAAGAATCAATAAGTAGCAAATTTGATGTTCATCCTTGAGATCCAGTTCATCACAATAAAATACATATCTCCAAATGTCTAGAATCTTATTTATGATTTTTGTTAGCAGAACGCATGCTTGTTTTGATTGACTTTAGACAACATAAATGTTTGAATTAGGCTATACAAAATGTTATAGAAAGTAATAAAAGTTTTACAATTTCAGACATGATGCAGAAAGAACATATATCATGTGTATATCTTTGGTGTTCTTGTTCATGTATATACCAATTTCATTTGATGCTGTTGGAGTGTCAATGTTTTAATAGTTTAATTGCAAGTTGACCTCATGCACTATAGCTCAATTGCTGATGGACCTCCCCTCCCCCTAGTTCTGTCGTTGCATATTGGGCTGATAAATATAATATAGTATAAAGATATTCCATATGTGTATGTTACAGTTGTTCATGCTTGTGGATGACACAAGGCTTCTTATATTTCAAGATGTGATAATTATCTGCATCTTTGTAGGAATTTTCATCTCTCAGACTAGTAGAAAAAGCATCCCAGACATACATAACAACTCTACAAGCTTGAGCCTTGGAAGTTTAAAAAGTAAAGCCTTGAATACTATCGATTATAATCCTCTTATCTTCTATTTGTGATGATTAATGCTATCATAGTTGGGTATACAATTAAACTTTGCTAAATCCTAAGTGAATAGTATCACACTTGCAAGGATGACTATTCCTTTAATCTCAAGAGGACAAGATAGACTTTTGGACATTTTTTGATATATTTTTAGTTGTTAAGTAGATGAAACATATTAAAAGATTCTAGGAGAAATCTCCTCATATTTGACCTCTGGTGTTGATAATCTGAGAATACATTCACACATATCTCAGTCTTATCCAGCATCATTCTATAGTCTGAGATAAATTCTGTATTTTTTTTTCAAATTAGGGATTTTTTTTCTTTCGAAGATGATATATGAGATTGCATCAATTCATCAAGAATATATTTGGAATAGTTTCAAATTTTGCTCTTTAAGTTTTGGTTTTTCTCATTTTAGTTTCTCATGAATTGCTTACCATTTTCAGTTTTGAGAGGAGGACCAAATGGCCTCTCTCAAAAAAAGAGTGATTGACCACTGATGGCTATAAGAAAATGAGAAAACAAGCTCATTTCTTCTCTTTAAAGCGCAGAACAATAAACTTTTTTCTAGGCGGGTGATGAGTGGCTTTCTGGCATAGAGTCCCTGGACAAGCAAATGAGATACATTTTGAACTTCTATAATTTGATGTTACTAAATTAATAACTAATTAGACTAATTTGACCTTTGCTGATATTGAGTTGGGTTTGATCCTTGATTTGAGCTAATATGCAGCCCCAAAGCTAATTGCCTCAGGCTATTAGCATTAGAGCTTACTTGTTGATTGATAACATCTACAATATCCAACTATCTGCGCCTAGGATTTCAAAGAGAGTACAAAAAGGGGTTTCCCCCCTCCTTAAATTGTTGATTGATGAAATATAACTGGTAGTTATCCAATTATATGACATGTTTCTTTTTATGTTGTTTATATTGTGATGTGGGCTAATTGATGTTAAATAATGCATATTTCCTTTTTTTTTTTTTTTGATCTCCTATTCTCCTTTCTTCTTTCCAAAAGAAAGTCTCTGAGCATTTTACTATTAATCTCCCGAGA